GGTCATTAAATGTGATTTATTGTGTGTGTGGGGGGGGGGGGGCTTCAGTTAATAATACGTGATATTTGCAATACTTCACCGCCATTGCAACCATTGCATATTTCACTTTTCATACAATACACACATGATATCTTGTTTTAAGTCAGTAATAAGAATGTGTGTCTTACCATAACTGAACGCAATTTTGTCCTAGAGGATTTTTGCCGGTCGCATCGTCAGGTTGATTACTTGCCCATTTCTGATAACTTTCACACATATCGTGTACCCATACTAAGCTGTCACCAGTGTGTCCCGTACCTGTAGGTGTTGGATCGTAAAGGCCAATCCAGAATCCCGATTTATGACATGCCGTTGTATTCATACCAGCATCGTTAATGGTTTGTATTATTTGTTGGAACGTTGATTCGGTGTCTATGGTGGCAAGCCAACCTCCTAAAGATTTACATAGTAGTTTGGCGCCATCCCAGGTCGATAACCGGTTTTTGCAGAAAGCTTGGTATTCATAGCAAGTGCAGTGTGTGTAAGACGCTACGTGGAAGAACAAGTACAATGTGAATAAGTAAGATGAGGTTTCAATATCACCCCCATCGAGACATATAAGACTATCATTATCTTATTTACAAATAACTTTTCAACAACAATTCATCGAACAATCTAAAGCTAGTTTCCAACAACTATTATTTAGATAATATAAGTTTAGATTTCAACAACTGCAAATTGACAAATCTCAGGCTTGTTTTCAACAACATTCGATCGAACAATCTGAAGGTAGTTTTCTCATTAAACAATCTGAGGCTAATTTCTACGATCTAAAGCTAGTTTTTAACAACACCGGGCCCCATTGTCAAAATATAAGACCAGTTTTTCAGCTACATCTCACCGACAAATATGAGACTAGTTTTCATCAAGATTCCTATTATCAATCTAAGCTTACTATTCAACACCAACCCATTGAACATTCTAGTGCTACTTTTCAACAAAACGCATTAAACAAATCTAAGGTTTTCAACAAGGCTCCATTGACTACAACATCTCATTGAACAATCTAAGGCAACTTTTCATCAACATCTCATTGGCCAAATCTAGTTCTGCGTTACTCTATTATCATATGCAACCCAAGCATAGTAAAACGTTATTTACAAAAAGCGATCTAGCCGTGATACAAATCTAAAATAAAACCTATATATATGCTTTATTCTTTCGAATGTTTCTTTTTGTAATATGTTCACCATTGAGTCTTCCACTGCTTTAAATAGTTAAAATATAGCTTGCATAATCACAGTCACGAAGAATCCGGAAATCATTTTCCATAAGCAAATATGTTGTTGTGTTTGATCAGGCCTGGAACATTTATACTATTCGGTTGAACATAGTTTTTGTAATTTTATGTGGCAAGAAAGAGAATCGCCTTCAGCTATCATAACACAAAATGAAATTGGTTGGCTGATAACATCTTTGTGGGCGAACCCTACCGATGATCAAGTCAATGGTATAAAATATGTATACCTCACATTAAAAGTAGAATCTTACCCATTGTATACAGGAGAATAAAATAATAAATACATACCCGTTGAGCTTACATAGGCTATTTCAAATAAGATGAGAAGAGTCACAATCATCATATTTAATGATGTAGAGAATACCATGTACTGTAGAGTGGAAATTGTTGAATTCCCGTGTTATTCATAGCGAGATTGAGTTAAATTATCATAAAACGATATAATGAAGTAGAATATAGATTATTCGAAATGTTTTCCCATTCATAATGTTATATTCATTCGTACCTCTCACATAGCGGAGGATTGTACGAGTGTATTTTGGGGATTTTGACATTTTGGCATTTTCAAATACTTTATGAATCAATCTGTCCACCATCTGTGTATAGACCACGTAGAAAATTAAGGGATAAATAAACCAAGCAAACTCGATTTGTTGATGATATTTGCAACATAGCTACAAACTGCTGCTATCCAACACCATTTGGCTATTAGAACAGATGAAATAACATAAGCAAAATATTGTAAGCAGAGTCCGTCATTACGGGAATAGAGCACAACATACAACTTACCCTGTTACAGTTCCAACGCGGAGATAACTCAGCACTACCAATACTGCGGTGGCGATGAGTCTTTTATATTAAAACTGGAGAATAAGTACCACGTGGCGCTATTCATAGACTAAATTATTTTTCACATTTAGGTAGAAATACTTGTCACAATGATTTATAGTTTCACTTAACTTCACTTATCATCGTATGTTTTATTGCCATTCCGTTCAGCAGTCTACCGTAGCCTCCATGGTAGATAGAGTAATTTTACAAACTCCTAGATCAGCATGTGTTTAGGGAGCCAGGGAAATATGTATACCTCGATTAATACACCCAAGGTAGCTACAAAGTATGCAAACATCTGATCCACGTGTTTCAATAAGACATGTACGCCATTTGTTCTTTTTGCCGCACCTGAATGAGGATGATCAATTAAAAGAACTCATTGTTAGACATCGTTATTTCGAAACTATAATATACTACATAAGAGATTATTGCCTTTTCATTCTGAAAGAAAAACAAACAATTTAATACACCATCCGGTTTAAATGCATTTTGGATCGGTAGTTCAGATATAATGGAAAAGCTCGATGGATCTAAATCAACATATTATTTCCTAGTAGTGAATAGTACACTTACGCCAAATGTCACCCAAACTCGCGATATAACTAACCAATGTGATAACTACTGAGAAGCTATGGTCACTTCTAATTTACAGTCGTTCGTTTATGGCTTTCGGTGTACATGCCCCTAAATACATCTGGACCACTATCCATGCAAATAAAGTCTCACATAATCAGCAGCCAAACAGAGCTTGTGTTACATACCCACTTACGAGAACGGCATCCATTGTTTTGGTAAAACGCGTTCTAATTGGTTGACAAAACCCGTCGTCGGAGAGTTACAGAACGTAGCATGCATAGGTAGTTGGTCAAAGTGTTACGTACATACGTGGTACGAGAGAGAGATGGCTTATTCCTCACACGGATATTTAATCATCGGGGTGTTTCAGTTCATATTTAGGCTAGGCTTAATATGCATGATGGAATGTCATGCAAACAACACACTGCCACGTCTGAACACACCTGGCTAAAAATGGCAGACTTGGGTCTGTGCAATACTTGAAATTAAACATATCAGAAAGCCTCTTGGCTGAAATAAATGAGTGATATTGCAGTCAAAAAACAAAATGCAGTAATACAGGCAGCGTTGTGGTAATATGTTTTGGTCCGAGCTCGCACCCTGTCAATAAGGCTGGCATTCAAGACATTTGACTTTCTTTATTCAAGTTAGTGGTGCAGATGTGCTTTTAAAATACTTAATTCCCGTCTGAAATTGTGTAGTCTAGTCGTATTTCCGATTTTGAGTTGCCCATTTCAATAACTCATATTAACCAATGTTTTGCGTAAGAGTATATTATCATATAGGTGAACATAATTGAACTTTAATTATTTACACTGCAAATAGCTTTTTTCTGTATTTCGCATTCCATCATTTGACAGTAATGAATGTGATGTGTCATACCCCGTCTGTTTTATAGTCTCTTTAGCATAATTTCTCTTTCATAAAGGAACACAGTTGCGTCACGTGCGCAATCACTCTTCGTCGGTGGGGGGTAAATATTGTTCACGACTCTCATGTTCACTGCTAATGAAAACTTACGGCTTTCTCCATCTAATACGTGTGAAATCAGCATAGAATATGAAGAGAATGCTTTGTTTGTATTTTTATTAGTACGTATATTATTCTAATAATTATTATTCTACTGGTATCCAGTTACTCGTGAAAACCAGTGCATGTAACTGATATACTTACATTCAAATAATTCCACTAATCTTTTCAAGCAGATGGAATTATTGATGCAATGCATAACGCCCTTGGTCTGGTCGCATCTGGTTTGTATTGGAGTTGTTTGGCTGTATGAAACTCCCAAGCATGTAACATACAAAATGGCGTTTACTTACGACCACATCACAAACATTTTACAATAATTTCGACGCATTTCGCAATAAACCTTTTGTTTTGTTTCAAATTGCTGCATTTACTGTCGGCATTTTCACTTACACTAAGGCAAGAATAAATTATGTTAATGATGCTAGTATCGAAAATAATATCTTGTGAACATGAAGGTATAATTGAAAAAGAAAACAGCGTTGTTGAATAATATGTTGCTGAGATGTGATGTTATGCATACACCGCAACCTGATGTCATATATGGGACGATAAAGATCAGCTGATTATGCCAGAATAGCACTGACTGCGTTTTCATGTTTTTGACACTTTGGATGTTCTGAGAACGTAGAATGTACAACCTGATTCAGTTGCAATAGCTAATACCTGTGCGTCATTAGCTGATCATCTGTTACCGTTGCTGGATAGACCGCCGCTCAATCTGATATTTTGCTCTTTATTGAATCTGAATGGTATTCATATATTATTGATCCCCTGCCCTGCCCTGCATGTAGGTGGCATACTCAGCTCTGAATCCATGTACCAGAACATCATCACCCTATGTTTGAAGTTAGAATCTAGCTTTTTAAAATTAAATAGATTCGGTGAGAGTGGGAATGAGAGTTTGCTTCTTAACAAATATTTTTGATGAGAGTGATGAAAAACAAATGTGTGTGTGTGGGGGGGGGGTCTATGGTTTGTCACCCTGCCATATTGTAAGAATAACCTTTTGATCGACAGATATTTTTCTTGCCAAAAAAAGTACAAAATTCTTTCTTATTATCAATATAGATTTGAATCATACAGATAGTATCTGTGATTGACTTTTAATTTTTGATAAAAAGATTTGTCAATTTTTGTTTACAAGATTTAATGTCAGGAACAGAAATGCTGCCATAAGGTGACAATGGAGCTTAAAAGGTTAAATGTGGCCTGCTATAGCTCCACATAGGATTCACTCTAAAGATATGAAAGTCGAATGGTTAATTCACCTGGCCAGTTGGTAATGTTGTAGATGATCTTCTCCAACGTCCATACTTTATACTACAGACATCCACCAGTGAAATGTATACTAGTATACAGTGAATGAGTGAGGGCGTATTTCTATCATAATAGTGAAACGTTTTGTTGGCCTCAGTAACAATGTGCCACGCGTTGCACAGTGTACAATGAAACAATTAAATAATTGTGTACGACAATGTGTCAATTCTGTGTTGAAATTCAACAACATCCATATTAATACCCCAAAGTTTCATCTTAGAAAAACATTGCGTTAAGTGTGGATTAGCAGCAAGTCGTGCCACGCTGGGCTATCATTTATATTATTATTATAGCAGTGTGTTCTTTACTGATCATGTATGACTTGAAGGCAATGATAATGTTCATTCAGGAAATAATGCTTTACTATCATGTTCATCTCCGGAATGTATAACGTACATTGAACAATTTATGTATCATACACTCACAATGTCAACAATATCGTTCGATTTCAGAAAAATCACACAGCAAAATATGCATGTCGATCATGCTAATAATCAAACAAAAATCATAACTTACAGATTCCCAATATATTCATCAAAGACAAAATTCTGTGGAATATATAATTTGGCACTGACTAATACTTTTCTCATAATTTTTAGGACGGTAATGTACATGAATTAAGAAATGCCATCCATACAAAAAGTGGTCTTACTTGGCAACCTTGTACGCTCAATACGACTAGATTTGTTGTCCACGATAAAATCATGAATCGTGCTATTGGAATAAACTTTTTAACGAGCGCGTCTATCGCATTGTTTTTTTTTTCAAATGTGTTCCATTATATTCATTCTTTTCAACTGACTGGACATGCCTGAGAGTGTGTTATTGGAATTGTTTATACTAAAAAAATAGTTTATCAATATTAGCTCACTATCAAAGTACTATATCCACGCACTGAACATATTTATTACTTAGGACAGAATACATGTAAATAAGTGCAGATAAAGTACGAGTAAATCAAAAATGCTCAGAATACTATATATTATTATACATCTGTCACCGTAATGCCTAAATCTGTTCTAAACGTTTTGAATTTCGGCATCCCATGATGTATTCTTGGGAGGTAATGATGTATAACAATGTACTCACACAGTACGTGGTCACATCGACCTCCGCTGCGCGTCGGTCGATACTGCCCTGTACTGTCTTCGTGCATACTTTGCAGTATCCTCGCAATAACATCATATTATATTGAGAAATAAATTGTACAGACAAATTATCAAATGAATCTCAAGATTCAAATAATCAAAAATTGCAAAATCAATCGAGGGTTAAGTTTAAAACAAGTCAATTAGACACAATAGACAAACTTGAATGCAATATGGTTACACGAAGTGCATCATGTCCGTGCTCAATAACAGACGACAACTTCACAATTATACATTAGCCAACTTTCTAGAGCACAACTTTTTCACCAGAAGACCGTAACGTGCATTTCAGCTAATTTTGGGTTCAGAAAAAATTACAAATTTATTTATTATTTGTGATTACATTATAATCCAGCTTCCCCTTGCATTGAAAATGCCTATTTGTAACACAGTATTAACTAACATTGGGACAGTAAATATAATATAGTACTTAATATAAATCTAAATTAATGGTAATTAAACCCTTGCATACACACAGCTAATTAAAGATACTGCTAATGCAGTGTTTGGCCATGCAGGTGTGCAAATATAATGGCATAGCTAAATTGTAGAATAAAACATATCCTTTCCTTTATTCCCTCTAACCCCTTCGAATATCTGCTGAAATCACACTAGCTAGTTATTATTTCAATAATAGCACTAATACCAAAATTCTTCTATTATAGATTATAGAGACATTGCTGTAAACTGGCAAAGCTAATCACCACCAAATACATTGCCGTTTGGTACAAAATCTGGAACAAGAATTCCAATGACTCGACCGACTAAAAGAAGACTTCCAGTGACCAGGACCTGTAGATGGTCTGCTTCCATGATATGTTGAGGTGGCGTTGGATCCTTGTGTCTTGGATGTGGTATATATGGATCTTTGTCGCAGGCTGCCCACTGTACAGAGTGCATAGCACAAACAAAACTTACAGGTGTGGGGTTACTTGGCAATGCATCACATAACTCCTCTTTCATTGCCTGAAATGTGACTTTGTTCTCTTTGCAAATCGCAAGTTCTTTTACTAGGTTCTCAAAAGTTTCTAGAATATAAGAAAAGAAAATATGGCTTTCAAACAAAAGTTTCCGCTAGTCATTTGTACTTAAAAAGAATGCTTCAAAACAATCAAAATCGGTGCTATAGATTGCACAAGAGTGCGATTTAAATTTACAAACAGCCTAGCTTGCAAATAATTTGTGAAACAATTTCAGCAAATAAATGTGGCTAACTTAGTATAGGTAGTAAAAAGCTCTCAAAATATGAGGAAAGTGCTTAGTTTATGAGGTTAATTTCACAAGAAGTTCGATAAAAAGACACGATTTCTGCACTATTCTGCAGCGATCCATGCGTACAAATGACACGCATAATTGAACACAAAAAAAGAATGAGAGTAACAGGAGACTCAGTGTTGTCAAAAGTCTGAGTAATTGCTTATAACACCAGATATATCATTACTCCTGTAGATTTTACCACTAACAGTAATCTAGCTACTTTATATAAAAACAGCTGGCTAATATACGAAATGTCAACTCCAATGACAGTGGTGGATTAAAAATTCATTTGTACCATATCACTATTTGAACTGTTT